CAACACTGGAATTCCAATCTTTAATGAACAAAAGGTAAAAGTAGCTTTGTTAACCTTAAGACTAACGCTACGTGACATCACAAGGTGCAACAAGGCATTTTGAACTTTGGAGATGTAGACAGATTAATAAACTATGATTACTCAAACATGTGTGGATTAAACAAAAGACAACTGTGTATGTTTTTGAGGAGTTAACAACTTATAACTTAAAGAGTAAATTTAGTGTAATGTACAACATACAGTATAATAGTATAGACCAATGCATCCACAAAGTTCTCTGCATACACTTGATTGTACCTATAGAACATTAGATGGATTGTTAAGAGTACGCTGGCTATAGGAAGTTATTCAAACACCCAAGAACCATCACGCACATCTATCAGGGAAAATTGTGTTTATGGTCACATTTTTATATAATGCTTTTCCACCTTTAAGACACTCGACGCACTTTACATCCAGGAACCCACTCACCCATTACACCATTATCCGTGTACACAGATACTAGGGGCGAGGTAGGTATTCATCTGCCCAACAAATGATGTTTATGTTGTGAACCTACGAAGTGGACAAACACTCTGCCAACTAAACTGTTATCTCACTGAGCTGTTGTAGTATTAATATGATGTGCAGTAAGATGGCTGTTTAAGTGGAGAAATGTTAAACACCTGGGTGTTCTTCCAAACATTGCTCTCATTTATAGGAGCTTGGGACCAGCCTATAAAACTCTGAATTAATTACTAGAGTGTATTGTAAATGGAAAATGCCTCATTTAAACTGTAAAGTCAAGTGGAAAACAATGAAGGTACAAAGTTTATCCAATATGAGACACTACAGTTAGAGGCATTCCCAACTGGTCGATAATTACAATATTCCACATCTTTTCCCCATTGGCCTTTTCAGTACACACAATTAGATTTAGAACCAATGACAACAAGAGACAACAAGCAATTAGTCCAAGTCCAGTCCACGTTAGCGGTTTATGTGGCACAGCTTAATTCACAAAATTTATTCACCAAGCAAAGACGACTTTATTATTTTACAAAACTACCTCTAGACATGCTCCAGCCTTCTAGCATTTTGTCACATCCGCGAGTACAGACTTCTTTATCCAGAAGTGTAACCCACTTTTCTTTCCTTTAATCATTAGCAGGATGCGTTCTCACTCAGCACGGCTCCCCCTGGCTGTTGCTTAGATGACATGTTGTGTGAGCAAGACAACATCATCAGTTCATTAGAGAAATACAAACAGTAGCCTCTCCCCTGCGCCTCTCACTCCAAAGACTGTACACACGCTCCTATTGGCAGGGAGCACCCAAAGGATCCCCATTCCCTCTATGCTATTTGCACAACATGTCGACAGTATCGTGGTACAAATCTCCCGTTAACAGCTGCTAGTAGTAACAAATCAGCAGCACATTAAGACCCATTATGTTTACAAATCCAGCTCTGAGGGTTATGTGTGTGGGAGATGTTGGGTCTAGCTCAGCAGACAGCATTTATAAAATACAGAGATTCATCAAGATAAATCAAAACAATTATAATAATATAAACTGGACCTTCTTCAATCAATCTTCAGAGAGAATGTGAAATTTAGAGGTGATTTATCATTGTAAAGGCACATTATGTTTTTTTCTGATGGGTTTCCCACTTCTCTCCATATGCAACTGCTTTGCTTGGAATGTCCCACAGCATGACTTAAAACATATCTATCTCCTTGGTAACAAGCAAGCAATGACAGCGGGCCAAGTTACTTGTCAAATTTGTAGTGATGTGACAGTAATAATGCACAGCAAGACATTTTTGAGCACTATCTATGAAACCAAATGACTTAAAACCTATAGCTAGTCGAGTTTAATGCCATACTGTGGAACATTCCAGGAAAAGCAATAAGGCTTTATTCTTATTCAGTCAATAAGCACTGGCCAAGCCAGTTTATGCTGCCAAACAAAACACTAAGTTTCCATCCTATAGCATAATGAATACATTAAAAAGGACCAGTACATTGTAAACAGCCATTGGCAACAACAAGAAAATAAAGATACAATAGATATGTATATATTTTCTGGTGCACTATGCATCAGTGGAGGTGAGTAATTCCTGCAGTAGTTCACCATATAATTTAAACTGCATGTTGTTGTTAGTTACTCAGTCTATAAGCATCTCCATATCAGGCAGTTCATGCATCGTGCAGTGCAATACAGTATCTGATGCCCTTTGCCCTCTCCCTTCAGTGACCTCCCTTATGAGGACACATAGCTGCGTGCCTATGAACATGTGTGTGCGCTCGAGTGTGTGTGTGTGTGCGTGTAGGTGCACGTGTGTGTATGTGTCTGTGTGTGTGTGTGCACGTGTGTGTTTGTGTGTGTGCATGTGTGTGGGTGGCTGTGTGACTGAAGGGGACACTAATGAGAGCACTGATTTTCAACCGCAAAGCCTCAGGATATCATTAACTGAGCCACTATATGAAACATCACATCAGGCCATCAGTCAGACGATCAGAGAGGATACTTTTTCACACACAGAATATGTGAGCAAGAAAAAAATAAATAAATAAACAAGCACCTTTGGAGAGTTGGGAAACTAGAAGCAGAGAGATACAGTGTGATCAAAAACATTTTAAAGTGCATATAAAAAATACTGTTAATTTCTGTAAAACCTAGTTCATATCATTATATTTTAAGATTTTATTAAAAATATATTTACCACAGATATTATCCCAACAAACCAAGTAATAATTAGAAAAAACATATCTGCACAATACACAAATGCTGATGTACTAGGTCATACGTGATCCATCCATGGGTTTCTCTCACAGTGAGAGCAAAGGACAAACATGTTCCAGTTGTTGACTTAGCATGGTTTGGTTTTTGGTTCTGTATTGTTTTGCCTTTCCTGCAATGGAATTGGTAGCATGTTCACATCTGCATTATCACTTGGTATTTGTACATGGACTGTGTAGAATGAGGAGAGGACCTGTTTACACTGATGCAGCAAAAGCAATGTTTTTATACAAGTCTGTCATTTTATTGAATAATTATAATTTTATGCTGTAATGGTTTATTTGTCTGTTTTGGCCTGTGGGTTCGGATGTGGTACAAGGTAGTATTTTATGTTATTTTTGGATTTTTCAGTAAACTTTTTTAAAATCTGTATTGATTTTCTTCCTCTTTTTTCTTCTTATAAAAGCTTCAAACACATTAAATAAAATATATTCCTTAAATCAGTATTACTGCACAATCTTTTGAATTGAATGTGAATAATTATCTGGGGGCCCAGGGGAATGTTTCAATCAATAAGGGGATCACAGCACTGCAGACAATGGGAATGGCTGATCTAAAGAGCATGTCTTGGTAAATCTTTTCAACAGGCCAATAAATACATTTTTATAGCCGTTATGACATTTAGACGGTGCAATATTTTCTTCAAGGCATATTTCCTGGCATTCCTTTCTCTATTTTCCCTTCCATTGTTCTCCTTTCTTTAGGACCCCCTGGACCCCAGCCCCACTGATTCTGTTCACTCCACATATGAGGGGTCAGTGCGTAGCCCACAAGAATAAACCGGCCACTCAATGAGAGCCGCACTGATGTCATCCCCCTAGCCCTTCTTTCTCTGCTGCTTCCCTGTGTCCTACAGACCAGGAATGGGTCTATTCACGCACACGTCCCTCCCCCCTTGGAGCTGCACCCCTAACAGGTCAATTCTCTGCCTTATTGCTCCGCTCTGCCTTAAAGAACTGAGGACACACTGGGAAATGAACTAGCTTTGTGCTTGGCCGTGACATATAGAGGTGATCACGTGGTAGAGTCTGTGGGGTAAGTGTTTAACAAGAGAAAAGGGCAGAATGTGTAAAATGTCTCTTAAAGGGCTCCAAGTGGCCATCCTATAATGAAAATGCCTGCACCACCAAGTTTTAAAAGATGTTTTCATGAGTTTGGCCCTAGTGGCAGCCCTCCGGTCTAAACACATTGTGTCCTGTCCATAGCTGCTTTCTCAAGCTCATCTCCACCTCTGTTTAATCTTCACAGACTCTTTCATTAGGACCACACCATGCGCTGATTGTGGACAAATGGAGCGGATACCTCATTTTGAGCGAGAATGAGCGGGGGATGCTTTGTCTGACTGAGGAATGCCCATAAGCCCATAAGACAGAAAGGACCACTGTTTGGACCACGGTGGGCTGCTATACCAGGACGGGACAGAGCCATGGCAACGTAGCAGCAGGTCTACTGGGGTATAGCGCTGGTACAATACGGTGGCCTGGGGTTTGTCATTCCAGTCAGGCCTGACCCAAATCAGCACATCCTGGGAACCACTGGCCTTCAACCACACTCCACACTCACAAACTTAAATGGGCTTGTATTATTTAGCTGATAGCAACAACAAACAAAACATATGGACGTTTGAAGTCTAATTACTGAAAAATGCTTGTGTTTATAATTCCAGACCATAGCCCATTGCCTATGGCTGCTCATGAATAGGATTTTTCACTTGTTTACACAGTATGTCTACAAGCCACCTCCCATCTGCACTGCCTCTATGCATTAAATGCTTAAGTTTACACATTGCTTAATAATCTTTTATGTTTTCAAATGGGTATTATCTACCATCAGCAGCTGCAGGAAAATCTGCTTTAAATGAGAAGAGCAACTAAGAAGTTATTAGGACCATGTCAACAAAAGTGTTTTTGCTGTTGTAACTGTCACCAAAAGCAAAGCATTAAGACAAATGTACTAATGCAAATTAAACTTTGAACTTTCTCAACTTCAGAAAGTACAGTTTTTCTTACAGTGAACCTCAGAAAATGCTTTTTCCACTGGCATTGCAAGTTATAAACATTAATGAACACAAAATACAATCAAATGAACCTTGTAGTCAAACCACCAACCATGCCCTTAGACAGCAATTAAAGCTTGAGACATGTTTGTGCTCACCTGGCCACCCAAGCGTGCCCTTACCACATCTCTACCATGTGAATTATGTGGAGGAAAAACACTTACTTTATTATGGAGGTCTGGTAGTTGTATCAGAGTTTGGAGAAGTAGTTTCTGTGAGCTCTTTTCATCTGCACTTGTGCCCCTCTGCTTCAGCCTCTCCAAAACTATTTGTGTGTGTGCTGTGCAGACAGTGGCTGTGTACTCCCTCCGTGTCAGTGTGTGCGTTGTATTGAGTGTGGGAGAGACTTTGGTTGGCTGTCCAATGCTGTTTCCTGACTCGTGATCAAGAGCTCATTACCCCCAAGGTCACTCCTGGGACGTCCTGCCTAGCACTCAGCCTCACACCAGAGACAACATGTGAGATGACGAATGGAGAAGACGGGGGGAGCAGCACAGTCAAAGTGCCAGAGAGTCTATTGGGACAAACAGAAACATATTAGCCCAAACAAAGAATCCAATACAATTTAATAGTAAGAATAACAGAACACAAACTGACCAATGTATGAGAAATGGCTGTCCATCTTCACAGTTATATAAAGTATGTTGTTGATCCATGGAAAGTGCCTTCACACCATCAATATGGTATTGACACACACCAGCTGGGCACAGTATTTGTTTTCAATGTTTTGCTTGTTGTTTTGCTAACGACAAAAAAACATTTTAAAGATGTGTTTTTCTTCTTTGTCATCTTGATATAAACCATTGCAGGACTATATTGGATTAAAGAGGGCCAATTTATGATTGATATAATTGCTACTACAAAGTAATGCCTAAATTGAATTATGCTGTCTGGAGTTGCAATACAGCTGAATTCACTAAAAAGAAAACAAAGAGGGGACACAGCAGCAGAGCTATTGTTCAAAATGTGTGCAAACGACTCACTCTCTGTCAGTTCTGTGACTACTGTGAAGTGCATACAATGTTTAATAGTGTATGTGCATAATAAGCAATGAAAAGTGTGTATTGGTGTGTCAGGGAAAGCATCTAACATAAAACAAATAAATAAACACATTATACATTAAAAAGTCTCTATTATTGTATCCCAAAACAAACAGCCTTTACTTTTTGTAACATGCAGAAAACGTGAACAATGGAACATATGATGAAATGAAAAGTAAATTTTTTGAACTTTTGGATGCTACAAGGCCTGGCGCCTTCTACCTGTAGAGCTGATGTTTCTTTAGATACATTGTGTTAATAGCCTGTGGATCCTCTCAGTAAGTGAACTAGCAGATGGCTGATAACCCTATAGACTAGCTCTATCCCTGTGCTGCAAAATGGACACATTACAACAGCCACAATCAATAGCATGTACCATTAGGCGAGTCCAGCCGACCCACGCACAATACTGATGTCAGAGGGCCCACGAGCTCCACTGGTCCACACACACACGCAAACAACCCCGCATTTCACCCCTGAGCCCAGCTTTTATGTTTTGGGTTATTGATTCAATGCCTGGCACACAAGCTTTTTCTAAGAGACAAAATGCCTCATTGTAGCTTTAGTTCATTATTATTAGATAAGCTGTTTCACTGCCAGGATCCATTGTGAAGGTGCTATTGAGAGTCAATGGGAATGTGATAACAATGTGCTCTGTCAGAGCTGTAATGGTGATTTACAGGTGGAGCATATTCAAAAGCTGTCGGGGATAGAGGGCCAACAAAATCAGTCATTAATGGTTGTTTTTCAAAAGTAGTATCCCTAAGCCTAAGTATGCTATTAGGATGAGATGAGAATGAGAATTCAATTGAGCCATCAAGAATGTGCTCTAGTCAATTCTGTTGATCTGCAACCTGCTTGTCTCCATGGAGATATTGCTTTGCCACAGTAATGTTCCACAGTCTAGCATTAAACCTATCCATCTCCACAGAGAAAATCAAGTCTCCAGATTGCGGATGAGACCTATGGAGAGACAAGGCCATTCACAATAAGAAAATGTACAAGTATAGATCAAAGTAGTAAAAGTAAAAACTATGTAAAAAAGTAGTAAAAAAAAATATGTAAATTCTGTCATGTTATTTTTTTCTAAACTTACAGCCCACTGGTAATAACCCTTTGTCTCTCCTTTAAATGTGTGTGACAGTGCTATCTGTATCTGGAGCATCACGTTTCACTGATGGGGTGTTGTGCATCAGCTTTAGTGATGGCCAGTAATTAGTATGACTCATACCCCCCACTGATCACATACACCCATATCCCACTGCTGCCATCTTAGATTCAATGCCATTAATAATGGATTTTATCCATTTGCAGCCCTCCTCCCTCTCCCCCAAAGCCTGCATACTGGCAGTAAGTAAGGGCTGTATAATAAGAAGTTGCCAGTTTAAAAATATTACTATATTTGGTAACATTTTATAATAACTAAATGTTAATTTGCCTTAATAAACCATGAAGAAAGAGTTTATACATAATGAACAAATGTGTTACAGTGTAACTGACTTTGAAGGGGAGACTGAACTGGCTCATTTTGTGTCAAAAGTTGTATTCATCTACATCAGTTGTACTTAGTTCCTCAAATAGCTGTGTAGAGCAGACTGAATGAAACATGCTACTTATGAAGCAACACTACAAAAGCAGTATATAACATATATGTGTTATATTGTTATGTAGTATCTATAAATTGAAATTATATATAAATATTTTGAGCACGAATGATGTTAATGTATGATTTGTTCCTAAATGGTCCAGAGTAAAATTTAGAATAATGATAAGATCTTTGTTTAAACTCCAAGATGGCCCAGTTTAACTGTGTGCCGAGGTGCAGAGCTCTATTGGTTGAGAGCGTGTCCATGGGTAAGTGAAAGGAGCAGAGCTATGACTGAGTGTGTCTGCAACAGAGTCTGATGAAACCAAATGAAATCAGGCTGTCCAAAAGAACGCAGGCTGCTTTTAACCACCACATCAGCTTTGCCAACACACAAAAGGAGTTGCCTGGGTGATAGGGCAAGGAAGTCATTTTTCACCACCTATTTCTTTGTTTTATATATTCAGTCGGTGCAACATGTCTCACTGAGATTGAGATTACATTTTACAGCAGAGGGTAATAGTGCTATGTTTCTTTTAACATCCTCACACACCATGTAGTTCTTATACATAAATATAGACACTGTATAAGGGTTGGGCAATTGTAAATACACTTTACATAGGGCAGTCTTTTCATCTGGAGGCACATGCAGGATTTAGAGGGGAAAAAAACTTATAAATTCCAGGAAATCTATAAAAGAATAAACATGAGAAAGTGACTGCATGTTTCTGTATTCAAGAACTGTACTCAAACATATTAAGTTAAGAGGCATAATATGCAAAGTCGATTTATATGACCTTTTGAGCATTTTATAGTTCCCGTCATCACTGACTTAGAGTTGTGTTTGGAGTAATACATGCATGTTTGGGTAATCATGTATTGTCCTGCATTTGAGGCTTGAGAGCTCAGAACATTTCAGTATTTACCTACCCCCATCCAAAGTTCCGAACATAAAGTAAATCCGAACATTTAGACATGTCATTCATGATGATTTCAAAAATGTACAGTAGCCAGTAGTAGTAGACACATCATTAAATGCTACAATGAGGCAATATTGCTCTCAGTTCTGTAGTTTTGAACATGAAGTCAGTGGTCCCATTTCTATTAAGCTGTTTTAGATCAAAATTGCAGTTTACAATGAAAAAAAAAACTAAAATATGACCTATGTGTGACCGACGTATGATATGTCTTATTTAAGATACTACATTATATCTTATTGATCAGTATTACTTAGATGATGGTGGAAAAACATACAAATAAAACCATTGCTACTCCTATAATTAATAGCATAATAAGCACCATGTTGTTTAATCCCACTTCAAACAAGTAAAATTGTCAAGGGCATCTTGACATATGTACTCCTGTGAGATTGTGTGGTGGCTTAAACTGATGTGCAGCCTTTTTAAGATTACAGCTAAAAGGTACTTGAGGAAAAGCTGCACATACTGTTATAATTATGTAAAAGTAACCTTATTTGCAGGTCTGTTGTACATCCTATCGAGTATAACATAAACACTTGACAAACACTTGACTCTCCTGGGTCAACACTCTTATGAAAGCCTAACCTTTATTTCTAGATGAAGTTTAGATATCTCTTTTTTTATTCAACACAAGGGTCGAATGGCATCCGATTATGCCCATTTAATTTCACACGAAGCCCCATTTCATTAATAAAGCATAAGCTCTTTGTTGGATATTAATATTTATATGGCGATGCCCCAGCCAATAAAGTAAAGTGAGTTTTACTTTTCCAAGACCATCCCAGAAATTCCCTGGAGTTAGATTGGAATATTTTCTTCCAATGTTTTTTCTACTTTTTGACAGTGTCGCGACGGGAGAGGCACAATATGAGGCCAAAGTTTACTTGTGTAGCTTGTGATGTGGTTGTGCTTATTATTCAGTCCTTAATGCAGTATTTAATCTCCATTTAAAACTCATTTGAAGCTAATTAGTAATGTTACACTTTTAGCATCAGCAATTAAACTGCAAAATTCTATTGATTAGCAAGCTAATCACTTCGCGTTGAATGAATACTGATTTTTTAAGGCTGACACTTTGCTATGAGGATGTGGAAACCGGTGCCCCCAAGGGAGTAAAGACAAGTTTCAGGTGAGCCTTTCTGCCAGCTGCTAGAAGACAGCAAATGGAAATACGATACAGTGCTGAAGTTTATTTTGGTTTTGTTTCAGAGGTTTCTGGGCTGAATTTGAATGCAACAAGAGACAGACAAATACAATGTTACACTGTGCTCATGACTAGCTTGTCATTGTATTCCGTCCTGTTTCAACACTGACCAAAGCTAATTTATGAATGACAATTAATGAGAAAGAGCCCAAACAGTAGAAGTGTGGTTGCTGGAGCGTGACAGCGTATGTGAATAACAGCGCTGGCTCCATCCGTCTCCCTGTTGCCGACAGTCTCAGGCTCACAGTCATCTGCTCCCCCAAAAAACTCATTAATCTCTAATAGCTTAATTCTGTGTTCCCTCTATGGACTGCATATGTCCTGTTAATAGCTTTTCAGTCTTTCTGCTACACAGCAAAAGCAAAGATTATTAAACGTCTTGTTCTTTAAAAAATGATTAGATTAGAAAGAGAATTATATGAATTTGCTTGTAGTTATTTGAAAGATGAAGGCTGA